TTCTCTCTCTCTCTCTCTCTCTCTCTCTCTCTCTCTCTCTCTCTCTCTCTCTCATTTCTATTTATTTTTTACAGAAAATTCGTTATAATTTTTATTATTTAGTTATTTTACTTTCTTGTTTTACCTCGAAAAGGTGAAATGTCAACATTAAAAAAAGATACACTTATAATTATTTTTCCATTGTCGGAAAATTATTCTACAATGGTTATACAATTGAGAAAAAAAGATATTATTTATTGATAAAAATAAAAGAAAATTTAAATAAAGTTGTTGTCATTATGTTAATAAAACATTAATAAAATTTGTATTTATTTTGATCATAATCTTTATAAATTATAATGCATTATCCTAATATATAAGAAATTTTATTTCTTAAATCGATATTTGTCTTCTTTATGTTTTTATTTCGATGATATTAGAAATATCGGTTCATCGAAAATAAAACTGGCATCTTTGAAAGGTAGCTCTCAGTCTTCTTTATGACCAACCGATGCTGCCGCTGGAATAATTGACCTAAATATACCGCAAAAATAGCGGATCATAAATTATATGGGCTCGACAAGAGTGCACTTGACACAGCACTGCCGCTGCACAACTACTGTCGGAAGAAGAGACAGAAAGATACAAACAGAGAAGAGAAAGAGGAACAACGGCAGAGAGAAATAAGGGAGAGAAAGAGAAACAAGGAAAGAGAAGAGGACATTCTATTGAAGGTTGCCTCTCTTCCGACGTGTCCTCATTTTGAGTAGAAACGAATGGAAAACTGCCGTACCAGCTGATATGCGAATCTCGAAGGAATACAGCAATCAAAGAGTCTATACATCGAAAGCTCGCATATGAATCATCTATTGCGTCCAAGTCTATTTATGTCTAGTTGTGCAATGACAACGATTTACACTACAATTGTGAGCAAACCGAAGAGATCATCTAGAGAAAAGATAGATAGAACTGTTGGAATATTTCAAGATATATGAGTTTTAATTTATTTTAAATCATTGAACTTACAGTAATGTAAAATATATACATTTAATATATACATTTTAAATGTATTTTAAATTTAACTATTGTCTTTTTATATTTATTAACGCGCGCGCGCGCGCGCATGTACACGCATAGACATGTATACAATTCGCTCACACTTATTCCCTTGCATTATAATAACAGATTGAAAAAGAATTTCTTGATTTTAAGAAGATATTTTTATTTTTTATTTACAGATCCTCAAAAATGTGTATATGTGATGGCATAGTAACATCGCTAAAATCTCTCTTACGAGACATCTCTTCTGGATAAAACTTCCTCGTAAATTTCGTAACGCCGTCTACACTGGCAAGTAGCTCAAGGATAAAACGGCGTCGGAAAAGCGGCGTCTTCTTGCCCGAATCAAAGATGAATGCCTGTGAGGTGCGTCAATTGGTCGGGACCTCCATCACCTAAATCTCTTAAAATTTTTCGTCGTTGCTCAAAAGGAGACCAAAAGGAGATACGCTCGGTAGCGGTGAAAACCGCGGTTGGGTGAGCATGACCGCGAAAACAACGTTCGATTCGAAGGAAATCTCCTCGTTTGATGTGACGTCGTTATTGGACGTCACCTCGACCGAGGAGAATCCCTATGCCAACAATACCGAAGTGAACGTTGTGGAGATCAATTGGCCAGACATGCCTTCGGCAATCGTCAAAATTTGCATCCTTGGTTCAATCATCGCGACGGCGTTGTTTGGTAATCTGCTGGTGATGGTATCCGTGATACGACACAGAAAGCTACGAATTATTACCAACTATTTCGTAGTCTCGCTAGCGCTGGCGGATATGCTGGTGGCGATGTTCGCGATGACTTTTAACGCTAGCGTGCAGGTAACCGGCAGGTGGCTTTTTGGCTATTTCATGTGCGATGTCTGGAATTCGTTAGATGTTTACTTCAGCACTAGTTCGATACTCCATCTGATGTGTATCTCAGTCGATCGATATTACGCGATTGTCAAACCACTCAAGTATCCCATTAACATGACGAAGAGAGTGGTGGCGTTTATGTTACTGGCCTGCTGGGTGTCGCCGGCCATCATTTCTTTCGTGCCGATCTTCTACGGTTGGTACACCACAGAGGAGAACAGCGTGCATAGACACAAGCATCCAGAACTCTGCGAATTTAAAGTCAACAGAATATATGCTATATTATCATCGAGCATATCCTTCTGGATACCTTGCACCATCATGGCGGTCACATATTTTGCTATATTCAAAGAAGCTAACAAGCAAGAAAAGCAAATGCACAGCAGAATGGGTAACGCCATGTTGCTCAGTCACAGACCGAGTAAGGATCTTAATAATTTAAACGGTGAATTGAACAGCGGCGGCTCGTCGAAAACTCTAACTTTAAACGAGATCAACACTGAGCATTTACACACACCTACGAAAGATAAACACATGATGAAGATGAAAAGAGAACACAAAGCGGCAAGAACGCTGAGTATTATTATGGGTACCTTCATCCTTTGCTGGTTGCCATTTTTCCTTTGGTATGTGTAAAAGTATCTTTTTAAATAAAAATTACATAATAATCTAAAAATTTATATCCGTGTATTTCTTATCTTCTCAGAGATTATTCTTTTAATCGGATAAATTGCATTAGATTTATCAATTTATGATTTATAATTTATATTAGTAAAATGTTTAGTTCATATAAAAAAACATTTTATACTAAATAATCTATCATTAATAATAGAAAAGTGATAATTTTAGAGTAGATAAAAAGTCGAAAATATATAAAGATGAAGAATAATATATTTTCTTAAAATATTATCTTAGATTAAAAATAATAATAATAATCAAATAATTTCACAAAAGTTTAGAGCAAACGTAAAAATTTCGATAAATTAGCTTTCATATTTCCTATTGCTTTAGAAATTAAAATTTGAAAATAATGAACTTCTTAATATTTTTTAAATAAACAAATAACCTTTTAATTCGATTGTTAGGTATGTTATTACAGCTCTTTGTGGCGAGACTTGTCCGTGTCCCAACGTCGTGATTGCGATTCTATTCTGGATTGGGTACACGAATTCAGCATTAAATCCATTGATCTATGCGTATTTTAATCGTGACTTTCGAGAAGCGTTTAAAAATACTCTGCAGTGCGCTTTCTGTTCGCTCTGTAGACGAGAGCCATCTGATCTCGAAGCGCTGGATTTCCGTCGGCCATCCCTCAGGTACGATCTGGTCTGACAAATTGAGGTATGCATTTCATTCTATCGCTTATTTCTTTTAAAACTTTATTACTTATACTGTTATGTATGCCATTCGATAAATTAACTTATTCTTAATACAGAAATTGATTTAGATGATATTAGCTACTATTTTATATTTTACACACTACACACACACACACACACACACACACACACACACACACACA